TCGATTTATCGTCGTTTGTTTCTTGCATGCTTTGAGATAAGCATGCTCGACAAACCCGCGATACGTTATCTCGCTATATATTATTTTGCTTGTAACTGTTACAAAAATTCAAATCAATAGCTTTTGGATACTGCCGTCGTTGGTATTGAAAAAGATGCTAATGGGAAATTTTGTGACGGACAAAGTCGACGGAGAGATCGTAGAAGCGATTGATTTTATGGTAGAAAGAGTACGTATGTTCATGGAAATTGTTTTACTTGCTAATGTCTATGTTACATCTTTACTTGTTTGACCTTGCTTGCAAATCATTTGCAATGTAAACGCCATTTTTGTTCGCAGTTGGAAAGTTTGACACAACCGGAGTTGGCTTCTCGATTAACGATGAATTGCGTCAATTGTTACGTCCAGCCGCAGAAAGTATGCCACTTGCCCATCACGATTATAGACGTTTTCGACGAGTATGCGTTGTCGAATTCAGTGAGAGAGGAAGTATACAAATGTTATCCGAATGCCAAATTGGCCCATTTGAAAAGCGGCGGCAATTTCCCGTATTTAAGTCGGGCGGCCGAAGTAAATTTACATTTACAGGTACGCGTGGCTGATTATTATCTATATGATTGACACGATCTACGATTATTGAGTAATAATGTATTTACAGATTCATTTGAGGCAGTTTGAGGGTACCGAATACGCTGCTTCTGAAAGAAGGAAGTTTTAACGCGGCTAAAATCCGATTGTAAACAAACGTTATCATATCAACACTCATGTAGGATATTCTACTTGTTTCACCGATCAGCCTGATTTACACGTTGTCAGTAATGCATACGTATTAATACGTGTGATTATAATAAAAGTCTTGAAACGTTTCTCAAATATATTCGCCATAACAAATATGCCTAAGTATTATATATATATATATGTGTGTCTATATATATATATATACACATACATATGGCTATTGGTATTGTAAAACTCGTTATTCTATTTTTATCGTAATGTTTGGAGATGTTTGTTATATTTTCTTCAGGCGGGCATTTATTGATCACAGATCCATTTGTTTCGAAGATGACTTTGAAGTACTCGAACACACATTCTACATTGTTCTGTATTTAAACGATACCACATAGGATATAACAATTTTCATAGAGAAAAAAAAAGTGAAAAAGTGTTCGTTATATATTATATTTATAATAATATAAATATACTCAATTAGACATACAATAATGTAGTTGAAAAAAGGGAAGAAATCGATTCTGAGAGTATAAATTGATACGTGTATCACGTTGAATCGATATATCCAGTCATCAAAATTTCTGTAAGTTTATTCGAAATAAATATAATTTTGTAAAAAATGGCCTACAAACAAAGAACAACCGTGAAGAAAAAGAAAAAAAGACACAAACTAGGTACATTCATTTCAGGTACATTTCATTTGTTCGTGTGTTTCAACATCAACTTAATTCAAGTGGTTCTCGTTAGCCGTGTTGCTCGCCGGTGAATGAACTCTCTCGGAACGTGTACATACACACTGTGCAAGATCGCCTAACTGAGAGACCGTACAAGAACTTGTCCGGTATCGATTTCTCTACGCGCGCTCTTGTTCGCGTTTCTCTCTAGCGAGGTTGAATTACACAGCCTTTCCTGTCTACCTAGGGGACATTTTTACACTCCCCATGTACGTACTACACACGTGCATTAATTACGACTATGCACTGAACAGATACATGTCGTCCAACTTGGAACATCTTCTCGGCTAGCCTGGTTGCATATTTTTAACGGAACTTAACGCATCGACATTCATTCTCTCTACATGTATAATTACCCCAACAGAATCTTCATCTTGAACGTTACCGCCAGAGAAAATTACTTCTGACATAAAATGATTTT